GGATATTTCTAGAAAGCAGGTGGCGTGACACTAGTCACGTGACCTCGCTTACGCAAAATATTGTTTTAACGTCTTCTGTCGTTGGGTTGGTTCTTTTTGATTATTTGGTGGAAATATTGTGAGATCAAATCCTCATAGCAACAACAAACTTGCTTATTTCTTCTTATTTTCTATGACGCTTCTACAGCCATGATGAATTTGACACAAGTTGCTTAATTTCATATATGAATTTTTCAACATAAGCCTCGCAACTAAGTGTAGGCCAACTTCAAGCCTTCTGTGTTTCGATCCCCGTGGGGGCAAAGCACAGATAGCCTATTGTGTAGCTTTGTGCTTAATTAGAAACAAACAAACAAAGAAACTTTACATACAACGTTTCAATCTATTCTGCGAGACATGCGCCAAACTTAGCTACTTAGCTTTGATCGACGAACAAACACATAACTCACTACTCAGTGAACTAATTAATTGTTTCACTACTTCGCTTTGGCATTTTATATTTTAATGAACTAACACATACTTATAACCAATGTGCTCGTATCTAGATATTAGTTTAAGTTATCATATTTTTGACATCATTATCATGGTGAACTTTCTAGGATTTTAGCCCTACATTTATGAAGTTACTTGATCTTAACGTTAAGAGCCCTGTAGTTAACAACCAAACTAAAATATCGAAAATATAGTTTACAACAATATTATAACTACTTTTATGAACTTATTTGATTTTGTTGAATTATACTATTGTAATGCAATTCGATGAGACTCCCCCCCCACAAAAAAAAAAACTACAACAACAAGAAACATCAATTCCAATGGTTCACAAACGAAAAGCTTTGGAAATCATTGAGCAATGTTTTTTGTTTCCTTTAGTTATATAGAAATTTTTAAATTTCTTTGTTTAATTAGTTTGTTTGCAGTTTTACCATAAACGTGTGGCCCAAAAAGTTGTTGAGATAGCCTTGTTCATTTCTTTGTTTTCGATAGTAAATAATGTCTATTCTGCCTAAGGTGATATGTCAGTAATATATAGCATTTGGATGAAAGGATTAGCAATTGTAACATCCTTTGTTGGCTGTTGTCTAAATGCCGACCAATGTTGTGATAGAACAAAGATTACGAGGTGATGCTGTCAACTGGACAAAGAAATCAAGTGTACTGTTGAATTCAGTCACGTTTTCTCGAGCTATTTCTACTAGAAGATTGTACTTGAAAATCATCTTGTTTTAGTTTTATAGATATTGTTACATCTCTGTTCGTTTGTTAATTTTACGTAAAAATTCTTTCAGTAGAAACTTCAGCGATACAAGTCCTTTCTTAAATAAAACTAGTTTATTCTTTCTGAATACAACTTTGAAATTCACTTAATTTTCACAGTCACGCTATAATTTAAACAAACGCTATAATTCACAACGAACGAACGATTCACGCGCTTGACTCTATTGTCGTCTCTATCTCTGTCTGCAATTCAATTACATTGTTGCCGTCACTTGTTGGCGGTCTTATATACAAGAATAGCGTACATCTAGTAAACACTCGAGGCTTTACGAAGGGACAAGAATTTTCTAGAAGCTCATGACGTGTTACCAGAGTCACGTGACTTCCGCTGTCGTAACAATATCAATTCCGAGAGAGTGAAAGCTGTGGGACTAAGCACAACCCTGTAAAGGAGACTTTTTTATTTGATTTTACTGTTATTACTTATCATATACCTGTCGGGAAATCAGTTGTGCCTAAAAAATACCACAACAGTTCGACTGCAAAAAATACCTTAACCTTCTCTATGATCTTACAGGTA